GTTATGAGTGATTTCTTGAGACGCTGTTGTTTGTTTAACATTATCAGCATTGGATCACATAGGCCAGTCTGCTGTCACTCTACGCGTCACATTGTGAGCGGTGACACATATTTAGAAGTTATGAGGCCGTGGTGAAATAATCTGCTTACTGCATTAGATATTATATGCATCTTGAGATAAATGCATGTCTTAACCCCAATTTAAATGACATATAACCTCAGGTTTATTGTCTCTGGAGGAAAGCACAGACGAACATGTTTAAGAGCTAAATGACTTTGAGGCACGTGCAGAGAGTCTCCACTGAGCCTGAGCTCCATCTCCTTCCTATAAAGACTCTTATTCTGTTGTGTTCTCTTCCACTCAGCCCACCAAACACACACTGCTGTTCATCTTCACATTTGACAGGGATGTGTGAAATGAAACGCTTTAAGGACTTGATTTGTTGATGTGATTTGAAATGTAATCTCTTTACAGTCTTTCATTCCACATTATGGCCCATTGAAAGATGTAAAGACGGTAATCTTGTCACCCGGCATATAAGAAACGTGTCCTGCGGGTCACCAAACATCATATAATGTCCCTCTAGTCTACTGGAAATTGTTTTTCTATCACTTTGTTGTTTTTGCAGCTGTCTATTTTACTTTTCTTTCTTTCTTGTTTATAGTTTTGTCTTTTCAAAGATTAAGGGGAGTCCATCCTGACCTTATTTCTGGAGGACGACAACCCCCAAACCCAACACACACACACACACACACACACACACACACACACACACACACAGTTGGGTATCTGCATTGGTGGCCTGTTTTCATGTTTCATGTTTCATGTTGTAGGGAGACAAAGACGAGCATTTGCGAGCAGAAACAGCAGATCAGTCTTGTGAGTTAATTATTCATATCCTGTTTAGCGCATCAACTTTTTTCTGACCAAAGCAAAAACCGCTTCGTACGGTCTTAGAAAATGTTTTGCACAATTGAGGAAGTTTTATTGAATTTTGTATGAGGGCAAATCAATGTCAAAATCCACGAGCACAAACGAGATCTGTGTGTGTGTAGAGGCCCAGCACGTTCAACTCAAACAGCACTCAAATGACCTTTGCGAGCGCTTTCACATCACTCCGTGTAGAATATCTCTGCTCTCGAGCTAAATGGAAGCCCACAAGAGAGAACCATGCTTTGAGTGGGAGGAGCATCTCTATCTCTAACTTCTATCACTGCCCTTCTGCTGGCAAAGCTCTCACCTGCTCACTCACATGTGCTTTTCTTTTTGACAGTAAGTGGGCGGACCCAGTCGCCATTGTATCACTTTAATTGGTTACAATCCTCGTCTGTGGATTGGCCGGATATCACTCTGACACAGATGCTAGGTGGCGCTATAAAGGTGTTTTTTTTACACGAAACAAATAATAACCGTAGCTGTGGCGTCATAATGAGATTATTCAGCTGCAGGACAGCAGTGAAGGCCCAGGTATAAAACGCACGGCCCGCCACTGTATCGGGTCAGACGAGGATTGCAACCAATTAGATATGGTTGACTGATGTTTGAATCAAACATCAGTCAACACTGCTGCTTCTGCTGCATCAAGGTCCTACAGCACTTACTAAACTCTTCCCTTTGCCATAACACTCAAAACTATTTTCATAGAAATGTATAGAAGTTGTATAATGATGAATGAGATAGAATGCAGAACTAAAGGCATGCCACTGAGAATGATTCCGGAGAGAGAAAAACTATTCTGTTCCGTAAAGTCTCGAATCAAACAATAATGTTCCATCTTGTAAGTCGCCACCAGAAAAAAAAACAGACAAGTGACAAGAAAAGCACAACAGAGCAGCAGAGAGCAGCCAGAGACACCTTGGCCGGTGCTCGGTGACGCAGCGGGGAGAGCTAACACGGAATGACAACAAAGAGAAGCCGGGGTGAGACAAACAGCAGCAGCTGCTCGTGGAGCAAGAGAGGATACATGGCAAAGCAACGGGTCACAATGCAGCAACGATCGGCAAACATCCAGCACCGGACACCTCTCTGTCACCCTCCGTCAGGACCACCAGAGAGGAAGAGGACAGGAGACGGATTACACCTCAAGGCCTCCATTCAGCACAATGGCACGCACAGATAGATGCATACACGCCTTCACTGTTCAGTCTGCAGAGTCTCCAGGACGACGAGGTGACAGTTACATCCGCTGCAGAGGTCCTCGTCCCTTCAACCTTCATTCAGATTCAAATAATGCTGCAGCTTATTGATATTTATTATTTATTTAATCATCCTAGTCATCATTCAAAGAAGGGGTTACCATCGTTTTCATGCCAAGGCCCCCAAATAGCATTAGCTTATGACAGGTGGCCGTCTTTAAATGTGCTGACATGTATTAATGCAATAATAATTATATTTGGATTCTTTTAATTATTCTGTTAGACGTAACGGAATGATTGATGCTTTTCCATTATGAACATTGTTTGTTTAGTTTACCAACATTTAACAACTGTGTGTGTGTGTGTGTCTGTGTGTGTGTCTGTGCGTGTGTGTGTGTGTCTGTGTGTGTGTGTCTGTGCGTGTGTGTGTGTCTGTGTGTCTGTGTGTGTGTGTGTCTGTGTGTGTGTGTGTGTGTGTGTGTCTGTGTGTGTGTGTGTGTGTGTGTGTGTTTGTGTGTGTGTGTCTGTGTGTGTGTGTGTATGTGTGTGTATGTGTGTGTCTGAATGCTAACTATATAAGCTAGCTATATAAATTGCAGGAGCAGAGCAGCTTTGTATCAAACGCAGACCGACACAGTACAACACTAACTGGAAGGCAAATACAGAGATGGGCAAACACCATTCTGATATGTTTCATATTATAATAGATTATCATTATTTAGTAGTAGTAGTAGTAGTATTTTCCCTTGCGGCCCCGACTTTACAATCACTGATTTAAAGGATCATTAAAGTTGATTCCACTTGGGTCTTATGGACATTGTTCTGATAGATTCTGGTCACATTTACTCACAAACTTTATTCAAGATATACAAACATGGTCAGATCACTCCATCAAAGTCCACAGTTTAAGCACCATATTAGGAGGTCAAACTGAAAGTGAGTTGCTAATAATCCCTCGTTGAAAACTACGGTCAGTACTGTACAGTACAGTACTGTACAGTACAGTACTGTCAGTGCAGGAAGAGGGTCTGTAAAGTGTAATGGACCTTCATAAAAAAAGAATTGGGGTCATCATTTTGGTTTTCTCTTCAGAAGAAGTTGTTCTAATGTGGGGCCTTATGTACTGCTTTGTGACTGCTCGTGTCTTTTATTCATTGTAAGCAATGGTGCTGTTTTCCCAGATACAAGCAATTAACAATAAATTAAAAATAAGATCTAATGGCAATTTTGTTGTAATGAATGTTTTGATGCTATAATTAGAATGTGAGTACATTAAGAAAGAGATGTATTGTTTTGGGTTAGCTCAAAGGAGTCTTCAGTCTGAGCCCTGCACAAGATGAGATGAAGGCAAGAACTGAAAGGACTTGATGTTGGCTGAGAGTCGAAGAAAACATGTTTGCGATCTTGTTCACTTGGAGATTCCAGATTACTGTCTGCACAGTAATTCCAGATTATTGCATAGTGTGGTGTCCCCCAGCAGAGTATTTAGCTGCTGTGATACTGTACATCCTCTCTCTGGCCCCTATACTTGTCTGATAGTGGTGTTCCTGACGGGAGCACGAGCGGTAAGCACTGTTTAGTTTAGCTTTGTGTTTTTTGTTCCGTGGCTCAGTTTGATCTGCCCAGCTGCCTGCTGGCTGGAAGCCCAAACACAGAGCTAATGTCCAATACATCAATGAGAACAGCAGAACAGTTGTTTTCTACGTAGGCCACACGCATCTTAATGAGCTTCCAGCTACTTTTTCTCCACAAAAGCAGCAACTTTATCACATTTGCTACCTTAGTCGACACATTTCAGCTGCAGACCCTTACTTCTTCAGTCCGTAGATATGTGTGTCTACAGTGTGTCTCAATTATGACAAAAAAGATTGAGCAATCTCAATTTGAAATGTAGCAGGAGGGACAACATCTTTGTAAATCTGGTTGCTGCTCAGCCATCTCACAAAGTGATCTTTTGTGCCCCTTTTTCAATTGATTCTTGTTTGCTGACTCAGAAAGAGAGAGCGACGCTTAGGATAATCCCTCCTCGAGATCAACACAACCTGCACACCAGCACCATGAGACAAAGGGGGAAATAGGTCTGACATTGAAAAGAGAAGCGGAAATGCAACTTGTCCCACTGCAGGGATTGTTTCAGCACATTTCCAGAGAAATCCTCCAGTTTGACCCAACGGGAGGCTCAGCGGCCGGGCTTAGAGATTTACTGATTGTTTTTGGTGTTACTTGACCTCATCTCACGTAATGGAGGCAAACAGTGTCATGGCACTGTTTTGCAAGTTGATTACAGCTTGAGTTGATTGCAGTTTGTCAGTACACTGATGCGTAAGTACAGTCAGCTTCACAAAGTGACTCACAAAGACCCAAAAAGACACGAGTCTGAACGAGATGTCGGCAGAAAGACAGACAAGAAGCACAGCTCCCTGTGAGTTTGGTGCTAACAGACACACCTCTTGGTACAGCATCACAAACACAATTCATCTTTACATTACAGCAGAGATACGAGATGCCAAACATACCAGAATATATTATTACATCTCAAATATTGCCAAAAAGAAATCATGTTGAATATTTAATATTACCATTACTGCTTCTTACCATAACTCAGATTATCATATATTCCTTTCAAAGCTTTCTGAAAATGACAAAAGTACAAAGTGTGGCAGAGTTGCACTCCGTGTGAGCTTCAGTCTGAACGAACAATGAGGAGAGGAGATGAAATAAGTAATGGTTTGACTTTGGTTCCTCTCCTCTCTCTCTAGAACTTGTTTTAATCTCCTCCTGCAGATAATCACAGGTGGCGTAAATGAAAGCGTGTCGTTGCTAAGCCTCCCTTTGATGGAGGAGAAGGCGCCGTAGCTTACTTACATCAAATAATCTCTCGATGTACACCTCCTCGTTGACCTTCTCCCGCAGCATGTCCTGGGAGTGACGGACAAATGTCACGTAACCGTCTGCAACGTCCATCCCTGGCTTCTGCAACGGACGAAGGAGACAGAGAGAAATGCCTTTGCTCAGCCACCTGGTGTCAAAATGTTATTTCACCATGTTTAACTGGAATCAAATCTGCTAAACCAGTGTTTCTAAAACTGTATTTCTGGGCACCCACTTTTTAAAGATGACAAACCATCAGGTGGTATCAAGTAAGTAGTGAGGAAAGGGACTTTGTGCCTGAATGAACGTTGCTGACCATCTTTACTGCCATCTCCACATCACCTTTTTGTTAAATCACAATGTTATTGAAAACATATACACACGTTAACTACTTAATAAATGAGACTGAGGAAATGCTTTTAGTTTGAGTAAACAGACTCATTCTTTTCATTCCCTCTCATCATTAAAACAAACACAATCTACGTTAGCCTTTCATGTTAGATTCAATGTTATACGTACGTAAGCTACAATTACCAGAGCTATACGAACATTCAGGCTCCCTTATGTGGCTGAAAGGTGTACTGCACATACACATGTTAAATAAAAGACTGCAAGATATTCTGCTACTTGCTTTGGCGATCCAAATAAAATGTCCTGCGACCCAGACATTTAGGGAATATAGTAGGAATATATGAATATTCCCTTTGAAGGATAACACAACAAAACATTAAGTACCCATAACTTTATTGAGATAGTGGAGATACCAGAGATAATATAAATACATAATATGTCAAGCTGAATATGTAGAATAGTCATTGGATGGAATAGTGCAGCCATACAAACCTCAGTGTTGGACACACACTCAATGAAATCTGTTCTGAGGCAAATCCTATCACTGGTACACTGGTACCCAGTCTACAATATGTTGTTTGATTTTGAAAAGGCTATTTTATTTGTTCTCCACAACCATATACCATATATACATATACGTATACATATACACATATATACATATACACATACTGTATATACATATACATATATATATACATACGTATACCACAACCCCAGAAATGATCTTGTGACCCCCTTGGGGCACAATCGTCGGGGTGAGAACCACTGCTTTAGGTGACAAATGTGTTTCACATTATTTAAATGGCCGCCAATTTGACTTACATTTAAATTGAGATGGTTTTCTGAAACTTTCAGTATCTATTTGGAGAAAAGGAATGTTGACTTTGGACTACAGGGCGGCCGTGAGCTTCAGCTGAGCTCTGCTGGGGACCAACGCTCAGTCTGGGCCTGTGCAAAGGGACCAGGGGCACTGGAGACGCTCAGTTGGGTTTAAATGGGGAGAGCAGATTGTTAGGAGGCTAAATCTAATCTATTCACTGAGGACAATGCGTTATTCCTCTTTCTTACATCAACATGTCTTATCATTTTCAAGAAAAGACGACTCAGTCTGGTGTCAGGTCGTCTCTCTTTTCTCAAACTCACACCGATTGGATAAGTCACAAAGAACTCACCGCTAACTGCTACTAAACTTAGTCAACACATCTGCAGTGACACTAACAATGTGTAAATGAGTGTCTTTTTTACCAGCGAAACTCTCATGTTGTACATTAAGGACACAATTAGCGGGCTGAGCTGGAAACGGCGACCCCTGCCCGTGAACACAGTGCCCCGTCACATTCACTGACAAGGCATTAATTTGAAATTCGGCGTGTTGCTACGGCCCAAGTGTTGGCAGCTAATACAGATCTGATGCGTACACCCACGCACAAACACCGCCGCCCCCACCCTGACAGCAGAACGGGCATGTGTTGTACAACATGGACTCACGATGTGTACTGCATGAGAGCGAGGCACGAGGCATGGCTGCCTGTCAGTGTCTGGCCACATGCATATGAATGGACATTTGGGGGAGGAAACAGGGGGACATTTGATGTGGAAATATGACAAGCACTGCCATCTGGATGATGATTCGACATGTGAAAGCATGGTCAAATATTTGTACACGAGAAACAAACACACACGCAGCACTTGGGAACAAGATGGCTTCATTCTGATGCTTTTCCTCTGAAGATTAAAGTGAAATGAACAATTGAAGTTGTACATGTTGCTTATGGCTGTCAATTCATTTTTGCATCAATGCGAAAAAGGTTAAATTATATTTAGTTTAATATAATACAATAATAATATAAAATTAAGCTATTTAATTCAGCAACTCACGGGACAAATTGTTAATGTTATTGCACCTCCTCACAGTTACCCTCACATACTAATACACATCATTCGTGGCAGCAAATACATTCTGCCAGCATAGTTCTTTTGGTGATGTTTAATGACGTTCACATTTATTGTTTCCCAACGTTGTGTGTATCTTTGAGGGCTAACAAATGTGTTAAATCCTCAAAAAACAATTTGCAACATCCAATTTCTAAGAACATCTAAAAACCTGCATTAGTTTGATGCACGTTTGCATCAAAGAGCGCTCGTCTGTTGTGCGTTTTAAGCTGCATTTACTGCTGGTACTGATAAGGATCATTTTTCTGAAGAATGTGGCCAAACTACGGATTTGGTTTAATCCCGACCAGACCACCTCCTGATGTAGGGGGGACATCTTTGGGAGTCTCACGATTCAATTTTGATTCCTGATATCAAAATCAGTTCTTTAAATTTCATAAACAGAAAAGGGATACTCGTGCCATCGCACAGTGAGCCAAACAATCCTCTGGAGTTTTTAGTTTATTCATCTTTTATTTGTTCTCCACTTTCAGAAAATAAAGCATGATTGAGATTATAGTGCCTTTTTGGATATTATAACATGAGTCCATCTGTCTCAAACCTTGACCAAGTGTTTTAAACCTAAGCACACGTGGGATACAGGACATGGTGTTTCCTCCTAAACATACTTGACAAAGCAAATTCATAGATAAATGTATTTTATCGGAGACAGAACTGATTGATGAAGACTTTTAAGCTGCATATATACACATAAAGAGATAGACGGAGGAATAAATGAGTCTCACTTACAGGTACATCCACATACTTGGAGGCAGCTTTCACCTTGACATAAAGGAGAGAGAGGTGGGTGAAAAAACAGTCAAGTCTCCAGCTGTGGCACCATTTTTCAGGACAAAGGCTGCTGTGGTGAGACTGTACAGCCTGTGGTTTAGTACCTGCTGAAGTGGCTAAAGTGACTCATGTGGTCATTTCAACTGCAAAAGTGCACTCGCACATTCAATAAGCAGGACTGTGTAGTTCCTTGGGACACCAGCTGAGGTGTTAAGCTATCTGGTGCTCAGGATGAATTCAAAAAAGGTCAAACTGTATCAAAATGTTCATTAAAGGGAAAAAACAACAATATTTTAAAAGAGAGCAGGATTTATTATTGAATGTATTTTTAAAAGATTTTTTGTAATGTGATCAAATTAACAAGATCCAGAATTGATCAAACAGGAGATCTTTTGCTGTAATAAATAAAGACTGTCATCAATGTATGTACACATTCATTATAAAAGAATATATACAACTATGGGAGGTCACAGTTAAATTTGAAGGTAAATCTGCCAAATCTAATGTTTACAACCAGCTCGTTCTCATTGCCACACCATCAAATACCGACGTTCTGTCACGGTCGTCCTCGTCTTATCCGACGCACAAGGCCTCTCAGGAGGAAAGGCACCGGGCTTCAAGTAACTACAATGCAAAGCCATCCACTGCAATATTAGACCATCAGTGCAATTGCTGGAATTCAGGTCATGTAGTATAAAGAGCCACAAAGTCTTCACAGGAAGGAGTTCATGGGTGGATGGATGTGTCAAACACAGGATTTTCACCCAGGAGACCACTGTTTGTGAGCCGTGTGAAACCAAAAGTCAACGATGACTTGTTTTAAGTTACGTTAGTATGTTACGTACAGCACTTCATTTGCATGCACACGTATGTGACATATGCCACGCAACTGAAGTTACAATTGTATTCAATTCAACCATAACCTGGATCTTTTACTAAAGATAAGAGAAGATAATCCTTTATTAGCAGCGGGGGAATTTACAGGATAGCAGCATAGTGGATAGTGTAAACAAGAGACACAACAAGTATTATAAATAAGTAATACACAATAAAGGATTTTAACTAAGTCAAAAATCCACAATAACTCAAATATAACTGAAACTAAAAAACATTATATATACAGACAGAATAATTGTAGTATTGCACAGTGTATTTATATTGCACCGATTCTTTTGTGTTGTGTGTTCTACTGGGAGCACAGCTGGTTGTGCAGCCTGACAGCGGCAGGAAGGACCTGCAGTACCTCTCCTTCACACACCACATATACATATACATACATATATATAAACATCGAACAAAAAGTTCAGAAATTAGTGTTTGGTAGATTATTTCTCTGTTGCAACAATGCTTCTTGGTAATAAATGTTATACCGTTGGAAAGCCTGTTTATTTACCTTTCAAACGGTGCCCCATTTGTAAGGAACATGCATTTGTGGGATGAGCAGCACAGCTGAGTATGTGGGTTGCGCCCATGACAAATGTGCCAAATCTTCTCTGCCAATGCTAAACAGCTTATTCTGCTGTTGCTATTGACTCTTGTTAGGTGGATTGGATGATTGAAGTCTATCAGTTACAAGGAAGAAACAAGACATATTCGCAATTTCACAATTTATTAATTTAACAAACAGTCAGGAGTCTCAGTAGTGTGTGGAAGAACCATACACAGCCACAACAGCCAGGCACCTCCTCCTCATGCTGGTCACCAGCCTGCTCACACACTGCTGTGGGATGGCATTCCACTCATCAAGCAGGGTTTGTCGCAAGTCAGCCAACGTGGTTGTGTTGGTCACTCTAGCACGAACAGCTGGTCCCACAAGTGTTCACTTGGGTTGAGGTCAGGACTGTTGGCAGGCCATTCCATCCTCTCTACTCCCAAATTCTGGAGCTAGTCTCTGATAAACCGCTCTGTGGGGGCAAGCGTTGTCATGGACTCATCGCTGAACATAACGTTCCTCCACATGTTCAGGCAGAGAAGATTTGGCAAATTTTTCATGGGCGCAACCCACATACTCAGCTGTGCTGCTCATCCCAGAAATGCATGTTCCTTACAAATGGGGCAGCGTTTAAAAGGTAAATAAACAGGCTTTCCAACGGTATAAAATTCATTGCCAAGAAGCATCGTTACAACAGAGAAATAGTCTAACAAACACTAATTTCCGAACTTTTTGTTCGATGTTTATAGATATACAGTATATATTGTCAAAAAAGAGAGTTGAGATCCCAGGAGAGCTGCCTTAAATGAAGGAATACATGTTCGGTATGTGAATCAGGCTAAGGGGACATAAAGGGTATACTTATAGTTAAAGGATGAAATCTAATAATCATATTAATGCAAGTGTGTAGTACGTAGAATTATGAAGTGATTTAACAAATGTAAAACTGATAATAATAATGTATGTGTATCTGAGTAAAGTGAAGTCTGTGTGTGTGTGGAAAGAGCTGATGTAAGCAGGGTGGGGGCCTTAAAGGCTGAGATCATAACAGATGTTGGAGTGTTGTCCGAGCACATACATGGGTGTAACCTGACACACGCTCAGAGCATTGAGGAAGTGAGAGCACCCACACAGGGAAGTTAGGTAGTTTCCAGAACACACACACACACACAGAAAGATGGGTGTTGTTCGCAGCACATACACATAATCAATGATGTCATGATAATCATGTGCCGAGTTAGGAAGTGTTGGGGAGGGGGGGAGAGAGAGCCCAAAAGTGTTATAAAAAGAGAGACTTGCAAAGAGCAAGAGGGGATTCAACGCGGGAGCCACCCAAGTGCTCCACGGAGGAAACACTGGACCTCGACAGCCGCATCGGAGGACTTCGTCTCTGTTCACGGAAAGAAGACAGCCGTTCCTGGACAAAGATTGAAAGACAGAGATTTTCCTCTCCCCCCTGTTTGACTTTAACAACCGGACAACAGATGGACGCAGCCGCCCTAAAGACTTTGTACTGAGCCTGAGGGATCGCTGAACGGACTTCATTGGCCGCGCAGGAGGAGCCGAAGGTCAGGCCTGGCCTGGCCTTCGCTCCTAAAAAACCCAAAAGGACTTTTTATTACATCGTGAATCCAGCTCCACCGAGCCGCCTCGGCATCGAAAATTAATGAGTATAATCTAAGAAGAAATTGTAACCTGATCGAATCAAGTACAGTATTATTTTATGTGAGCTGTAGCTGTGCCCCTGCTAATATCCTGCAATAAATATCTAATCTGCATTTAAAGTAAATTGCTCAAGAGAATTCATTTGCTGAAGTAGTAAAAGTTCCTCGTGGCAGTAAAAAGTTAAATCTATTGTATGTTTAACAACAAGAGTTCTGAATGGTTATCCTGGTGACCGGTCCACTTAACAGTCCCTTACGGTTTTAGTTGTAATCCTAGCCGTTAAAATCTAACCTGGCAATTTACCAAGAGCCCGGATCCAGAAGAGGAAAGCTGCCATAACTGACGCGACTAGGTAGAAGTGCCCGGCCAGGGTGGCCCCTCGGCCGAGTGCGCGTTACCAGAGGAAGCAGGTTAGACGTCAGGAGTAACGGTAGTTAGCAGAGCCAGGCGAGTTTCCTCGACAGAACACCAGCTCGACAATCTTTTAATAGAGAGCTGAGTCAGTAGGTAGCCCCGTATCGGGCCAGAGAACCCCCAGATCTAAAAATATATATATATATATATATATATATATGTATGTATATGAAGGAAGGACCTGCGGTACCTCTCCTTCACACACCGGGGGTGAATCAGCCGGTGGCTGAAGGAGCTGCACAGAGCTGTCAGGGCGTCCTGCATGGGGTGGGAGGTGTTGTTCATCAGGGATGATAGCTTAGCCATCATCCTCCTGTCTCCCACCACCTCCACCGTATCCAGTGGACGCCCCAGCACACTGCTGGCCTTCCTGATAAGTTTGTTTAGAACCTAACCTAAACAAGTAGTTATGTTGCCTACACTGAAGTGACCCCAAGGGGTACCCACGGTGTTAAAGAGTGATGGCAAGTGTCCGTATGTGAACAGTCTCATATAATAATATTGTATTGTTTTAACTTCCAAATCAGTGATTTCATTTTGATGACAGCAACACAAACCTTTGGTCACCTGGTGCACCGCACCGGAAAAGTCTGATATGCACATCCAACAATGAAGCTGGTGAGTATCTGCTGAAATGTGTTTGAGGAAGAATGCTGTTGGTAGTGTGTACAGTATATGTGCTACTTACTGTGAAGGAGAGGAAGGAGGAGAAGAGTGTTCCCTCATCGTATCTGGAGAGCTTGGCTAACACACTTTCTAGGATGACCACAAACTGAGAAAGCGGAGAAGAAGAAGAAAGCAGCAGGGAAATGACTTTACTTTTGTAAATGCAGCAGTATCCCCAAGTACAGACAGTCTACAATCATAGTCTCGTAACAGTCAGAAGGCATTAGCAGTAAAATGTACTTTAGTTTCAGTAAAAGACAGTTCCTTTAATTTGCGCCCAGCGTTCAAATATTAAAGCAATAACCTGTTAGCAGCTGCCTCAATGAGTTCATTCTACTGCGGTGCAGTTGAAAATACAGCAATACGTCATATTGTCCATGTCAGCCAAAAACCATGTATATCTAGTTTTTGGGAGGGGGCAGCAATGGAGAAGGCCCTGTCCCCCCAGGTCCGATGCTTGGAAAGAGTAGGGGGGGGTAAGGAGGTTGGCGTCAGCGGATCTAAGGGGAGCGTGTCGATGCAGGAGGGTGGTGGCGGTGATGGATTTGGTGGAGATGTAGAGCTGGGTGTCGTCAGCATAACAGTGGAAATGGAGACCATGGTGGCGTATGATGTCACCAAGGGAGAGCAGGTAGAGGAGGAAGAGGAGGGGACTGAGTAGTGAACCTTGGGGGACACCTTGAGACTGGGGCTGACTTTTGAGCCACTTTGTGGTCATTTTGATTCTCTTTGTGGTCATTTGAGTCTCTTTGTGGTCTTTAGAGTGTCTCTGTGGTCATTTGAGTCTCTTTGTGGTCATTCGATTCTCTTTGTGGTCATTTGAGTCTCTTTGTGGTCATTTGAGTCTCGTTGTAGTCTTTTGATTCTCTTTGTGGTCATTTGAGTCTCTTTGTGGTCATTTGATCTCTTTGTGGTCATGTGGTCATTTGAGTCTCTTTGTGGTCATTTGAGTCTCTTTGTGGTCATGTGGTCATTTGAGTCTCTTTGTGGTCATTTGAGTCTGTTTGTGGTCATGTGGTCATTTGAGTCTCTTTATGGTCATTTGAGTCTCTTTGTAGTCATGTGGTCATTTGAGTCTCTTTGTGGTCATTTGATTCTCTTTGTTGTCATTTGAGTCTCTTTGTGGTCATTTGAGTCTCTTTGTGGTCATTTGATTCTCTTTGTGGTCATGTGGTCATTTGAGTCTCTTTGTGGTCATTTGAGTCTCTTTGTCGTCATGTGGTCATTTCAGTCTCTTTGTGGTCATTTGAGTCTCTTTGTTGTCATTTGATTCTCTTTGTGGTCATTTGAGTCTCTTTGTGGTGTTTTGAGTCTCTTTGTGGTCATTTGATTCTCTTTGTGGTCATTTGAGTCTCTTTGTGGTCATTTGAGTCTCTTTGTGGTCTTTTGATAGTCTTTGTGGTCATTTGATTGTCTTTGTGGTCTTTTGATTCTCTTTGTAGTCTTTTGAGTCTCTTTGTGGTCATTTGAGTCTCTTTGTGGTCTTTTGATAGTCTTTGTGGTCATTTGATTGTCTTTGTGGTCTTTTGATTGTCTTTGTGGTCATTTGACTCTCTTTGTGGTCATTTGATTGTCTTTGTGGTCATTTGAGTCTCTTTGTGGTCATTTCATTCTCTTTGTGGTCATGTGGTCATTTGAGTCTCTTTGTGGTCATGTGGTCATTTGAGTCTCTTTGTGGTCAATTGAGTCTCTTTGTGGTCATTTGATTCTCTTTGTGGTCATTTGAGTCTCTTTGTGGTCTTTTGAGTCTCTTTGTGGTTATTTGATTCTCTTTGTGGTCATTTGAGTCTCTTTGTGGTCTTTTGAGTCTCTTTGTGGTTATGTGATTCTCTTTGTGGTCATTTGAGTCTCTTTGTGGTCATTTGAGTCTCTTTGTGGTCAATTGAGTCTCTTTGTGGTCATTTGATTCTCTTTGTGGTCATTTGAGTCTCTTTGTGGTCATTTGAGTCTCTTTGTGGTTATGTGATTCTCTTTGTGGTCATTTGATTCTCTTTGTGTCTTTGTGGTCTTTTGAGTCTCTTTGTGGTCATTTGAGTCTCTTTGTGGTCTTTTGATTCTCTTTGTAGTCATTTGAGTCTCTTTGTGGTGTTTTGAGCCTCTTTGTGGTCATTTGATTCTCTTTGTGGTGATTTTAGTCTCTTTGTGGTCTTTTGATTCTCTTTGTGGTCTTTTGAGTCTCTTTGTGGTCTTTTGAGTCTCTTTGCTGTCATTTGATTCTCTTTGTGGTCTTTAGAGTGTCTTTGTGGTCATTTGAGTCTCTTT